GTTTAGTGCTTTTTTTCTGTAAATTCTTTAGTGCTCTGATTAAGTCATGATTGACTGGTGGCTAATCCTGCAAAAAGGAAGGTTTTTCACTCTCTCTGAAGGAAGAGGCCAAATGGAGGCAGTTTCTTTGACACTAAAATGTGCAAAACTGTTCTGGTTTGTTTTCATTTTATGAAAAACATATGAAAACTATGAGAAGTACTGTAAAACTTAATAATAACTTTAGGTGGGCTCTGTTTTTTAAGGCAGAGTTCAAAAGAGTACCACTAGTATAAACAGCTTTCCTATTCTCTCTTTTCTTTGTAATACTTCACCAAGTTGATATCTGGAGTAAGGTGTGGCCGTTTCTTGGCAGAATGAGGCTTCTAGATTTTACTTGTGTTGCTGTGTTTTCAGGAGTATGCTTTTATTGCCTAATACTGAAATTGCTAGTTGGAGGAGCTTGTTGTCTGTCTCTTGTCACATGTAATTTTAGTTTAGCATTCCAGCTTTTGTAGTCCTCTTTGCTCACTTCGTAAACCTTAACTGCTTCTCCAGTAAAAGGTTTCCCTGGATGACCAAGCAGGAGAAGGAGCCTCACCGGCTTCATGCCCTGTTCCTCTCTCCAGTCTTCCTTACTGTCCCAGCCCAACAGCGTAACCGAGAAGTTCCTTTGGGAAAGGGTTAGCTTGAATCCCCGCAGTCCCAGCAAATTCACACAGTTCCTCTAATGTAAGAATTATAAATGTACTAGACGACCTGTTCTGGTAAGCAAGTTACCAAAATTCTTCATCATTGCATCTCAAATAAAGAGTGGCGACTGCTCATCTGATTACAGCAACCCTTGCTTAAGTTCTGTGTTTTTAAAGATAGCGTGTCTGCCAAGAAGGGTAGCTGCCAACGAAAGAGAAGGTTGCCCCCCTTATGGGAGATGATGGTAAGAAAGTGGGCTGTTTTAGATATTTTCCTCTAGCACTTGTGATTCGGAAGATATGTGTATTCTAATACACCAGAAATTGAAAGTAGTCACTAGAAACCAAGCTTGAAATTCCATCTCTTAGTGAAAGACTTGCAGTCTTTCAGCAATTCCCATTTTAAGGAATGGTTTCAAAAAGCAAAGCACCAGGGTTAGAACAAGCTCTTTTACCTCTTTTTACATATGCTGCGAGCATCTAAGTCTACTCAACAAGCGTGCCATTTTGCAAGTATCTTATTTTCTTTCCGCAGAATGTCAAAAGCACCACGGGAAGTGCCGACTATGGAATATAATTGATATGGATGTTCTGTGAGACTATTTTTGTTACTATGTTTCAAGATAAAGGCAATCAAGTATTTATAGGAAAAATAAATACATATGCCTTTTGCACTGTGTTGTAGCTGAAAATTAAATATTTTTCTACTCAAATTTTGGCGTATTTCCTGGAATCACCGAGCTTTCAGTAACGTTTTTAGTTAATATTCTGCAGCCTACTGTTGCGTTCACCACAGCTAGCATGAGCTCAGAGGGTTTGTCTTTATTTAACCTTAGAGAGGAATCCCAAGCTTGCTCTGTAGTCGGCAGAGCTGTTGAGAAGGATCTGCTCCAGACCACAGTGGAGAGCACGTGGGCAGGGTCCCGCTCTGAATCGTGCCCACTCATACCTTGCTCCATTGGTGATACTGGAAGTCCTGGAAAAAACGCTCCTCAAAGTGAAGTTAGCCTTTATCAGACTCTGATTAATATTTTCTTTCATTATCCATCCTTTTCCTTCTTTGGCTAATAGCTTGATGAACCCTATTGTTAAAGTCCTGCTTCTCGTGATGTTTGACAGTTGAGGGCACTGATTAGGACGTTCCTTTTCTACCTCTCCTTGTGTGGAGGGGGTCAAAATATGTAAAAAATCCTGATGAGAATAAACATCCTGCATCACCTTTGCTCTTTTGAGACTTAAAATTGCGTTGGGGTAGAGGGGGAAGATACTTCAGCTAAAAGTCAAAGCTTTTAGAGACACTAGTTCTGATTCTCTGCTCCATTACACGTTTTTCACACTGATGTAGCTCCGTGGAGCTGCTCTGTCTCTGTCTTGTCAGCTGGTAACAAGTAAGGAGAACGTGAATTGCCTAAGACCACCTAACAGACAGTAGCAAGCCATTCAGTTTGATTGGTGATGTTATAGGTACTTGTTTGGAAGAATTTCAGTAATGAGGTTAACTATTATCCAGCTAACTATTAGCTGTTACAGTTTTAAGATAACGAATACTACCTTTTGGGGGTAATTACTATGTCAGCTGTTAGTAGTATTGGCGGTAACCTTACAGTTAGCAGTATTTATGCCAGGAAATAAATGCTTATCTTTATTTGTCAGTAAACATTGTCATTTAAATTACATGAAAGATTATGTATTGATTTCTATGGATTCAAGTCTCTAGAACTACCTTAATGTTTATTTTCCCCCACATTAACAAATGAGGTAAAGTTGAACTTGACAAAGTAGATATTCCAGTGCTAGATTTATCAAGCACGTGAAAATTCTTGAAAACGCCTATCTTCTCAAACCGAGCCTGATTTTAGCTGTCTATTTTACTAATAGTGGAAGGAAATTTCTATTGTTAGAAAAATCTGGACGTTTCCCCTCGTGGTTACAGAGAAGCGTTCTGAAAATGAGGAAGCGGGATGCTCGTTGGAGGTAGGAAGTGTAATCAGTCTGAATCGCCGTGCAGACCTGTAGGGGTTGATTTGTAGCCAGCATCTGCAAAATAAACTGCAGGGTTCGGTTTGCAAACACAATTGCGAACCAAACCCTGCAGGGTTCGCCGAGCTCCGGTTGCTATTATTGCTGCTAGTAAGGCTTATTATCCTGTCACAGAAGACGTAAGAAAATCCATCTCTCCACTTTAAACATGATAAGCCTTTGTCACCTACAATGCAATTAATGTTAAAAATAGAAAAGCGCCGATGATAAGATTGTGACTTGCAGGCAATGAGCCATTGTCCAAAGTAGCGGAGACTTATCTGGAGGGCCAGTCAGCCTACACGGTTTGCTGTCAGTTTGCTGATTGCCATTTCTCTCCGAGTTTGATGAAATATTCATGTCTTTGCTCTGCTCTCTGCAAGCACTATTGATTTCTTGTATAAACGCGGCTATATTTAGTCTAGACAAATGGAATGTGGATTGCTGCTGAATAAATGGGATGAAAGGCTGGGGCTTTGCCTGTCCGTTTCTCTTGGTCTGCGGCAATTATTTATAATCAAGAGTAGTTTTTGTAAGTTAAAGGTGATTTTTTATAATTTAGTGATTAGTCTCAGAACAAAAGTAGGCACTTGAACACAATCGTTCTGTGGGGATAGCGGGTTAAGAAGGCAAATTATGCTCTGAGGCTTACAATCTCAGTTACAAAGATTTATTTTTTTTTAAAAAAAGGCCTAGAAAATTGTATGTTTATAGAATTTTGAGAAGAAAATAATACGATCAGTAGAAGAGATTTTGGATTTTATAAAACTTTTTACTAATAGATTTGATCAGACAGTTAGAATTCAGTTCTCTCCATCTGCTGCAGTTTCAACTTTTGCTGCTTCGATTCTACTGCTGCTTGCTAGAATCCTCCAGCTTCATTTTGCTTTTCTCCTTGAAAACAAATACAGCTGTAGCAGAGCAAAAGGAGAAAATACGCTTAAAATCTTGTTCGCTAGTCATTTCTGACAGCTTGTTTGTTTTTCAGTTAATAATCTTCTTTTCCTATGAAGATAGTGGAGCAGGAGGAACAGGAGTGAATGTGTTTGTGTTCCACTGTCCCCGTGTGGATGGAATCAGAACTGCTGAGCTTTAGCAGAGACCCTCAGCTGCTATTTATTTTCCTCTTGTAGAAATGTTACTTGCTAGTTTTTTCTTCTTCTGAAACAGATATAGTTACACTCTGTCTCTTCCCTTAATGTGAAAACCTGAGTTTACAAGTACTGTAGTGAAAATCATCGAATCTCTCTCTTCTGCTGCTTTTTAGTCTCTTCGATTTAAATGAGATAGAAAAACACAAAATTCTTCATTAAGTATTTAATGCTGGATATATATACCATTGCTGCAACAAATTGGAAAAATTCAAGATGTTTTCATTTCCTTACAATCCATATATAGTGTATCATGTCTAATCCACTCCAAGCATGGCCATCACTTTTCAAAAAGCTGTATTAAAACTTCTTGTTTTGTGTGTCAAATTATTTTCCTATAATTTTATATGTGTTATTCCTGTGTGTTTGCCAGGTATATTTACATGCAGTAGCTATGTAGCATTGGGTAGCTGTTCATGTGTAACACTATCCTCAGAAAATCTGCACGCTAGCTTTGGAAAATCTCTTGCAATGCAGTGAGAACTGAAGTGCCCTGAGTATTTATTGTGAAGCATTAATAGTGCCTAGGAGATTCTCCCTAAATATTGCTACATTAGGCTGTGATGTGGTTTTAGAACTGGTTTGTTTGTTAGTCTATTTGGCAGAATGTTAATCTGGGAGTATTTTTGCAGAGAATGGAAAGAAAGTGATAAAATAATTTGTAAAATCTCCAGTTGCTAGTAGGAATGTCTGAAGTTCGCACACAGCACAGATTGCATTAGAGTTTTGCTAGGTCTGTACATTGAAGCAGTCTTTGAGCGAAATTGGTCTTTTCCCCAGTAGGAATGATCTCTGTTCTCCTTCTCCAATTATGTTTAATATAAATACACTTTGTTGTTTTCCTCTTGTAGTGGATGTAAAGTCGGAGGTTCCCGTGGGATTAGAGCCTATCTCACCATTAGACTTGCGAACTGATCTCAGGATGATGGTTCCCATGGTGGACCCAATTATGCGTGAAAAGCAGCTACAGCAGGAACTACTTCTGATCCAGCAGCAGCAGCAAATTCAGAAACAACTGCTGATTGCAGAGTTTCAGAAGCAGCATGAAAACCTGACCCGCCAGCATCAGGCCCAGCTCCAGGAGCACATAAAGGTAGCAACATTTTTCATTTATCCTTCACTTTATCTGCAAACTGAATATGCTTAGGCAGACGTAAAAAGCGAACGTGCCTGAAAGGTTCGCTGTGACTGAAAGACGGCGTTTGAGTGCTTGTTTCTGTGTATTTGGGTGATAAAAGCCTTTTCAAGCAAAAATGCTAGCACCTACCAGTGAGATGCTCACAGCAGGCCAAGGCAGTGCTATGAGAATCGTCAAGCTCATGAAGCGACCATATCCACAGAAAATCAAACTACCTGTTTTACAAAGGTGGATTTTCAGTCAGACTTCAATATAGCTGTCTTTTCTGTATGTGCACTTTTGAATATATTAAAAGACTGCTTTTTTGGGCTGCTGTTTGAGTTCGTGCCCACAAATCAAATCGATAGGCAAGTGCATAATATTTGCATTTGTAAAACAGAGGCAGACCTTGAAAGTGTTGTGTTTTCTCTCTTCTCTGAGCTGCCTCATATAATGTAAAAAGAAAATTATTTATGGGATTACATGCACTGTGGTAGGATTGCTGTAATGGATTTTGACTGGGAATTTATGATCTTGCCTTTCTTTTCATATTTTCCTTCTGATCTACTTGCCATTATGCTACTGTGCTTCCACTTGATGAAGCTGACAAATGCAGTGGAGCACGGCAGCCAGCACTGGGTGATGCACTGGTGCAGTTTCCAGGCATTTTTGCCGAAAGAGAAAGAAGTGAAACCAAAGCAGCAGGCTGCTACCTGACATTAGAGTTCATTTTAATGACAGCCAGTAATGCACTATCCCGCTTAAAAGGCTAGGGAAAGTTGGTTAAGAGGTGAAAAGAAGCAAGCTCTGATACTCAGTTATTCAAAGGGTGTTGTTTTAGCTAGGACTGACCTAGAAAACAGTGCAAACTGCACTTTCTCATGTCTTTTTGTTCTGTGCAAGTTACAACAGGAACTCCTAGCCATTAAACAACAGCAAGAACTCCTTGAAAAAGAGCAGAAACTGGAGCAGCAGAGACAAGAGCAGGAACTGGAGAGGCATCGCAGGGAACAACAGCTTCCTCCCCTCCGAGGCAAAGAAAGAGGCCGAGAAAGTAAGAACCAATGTACTATGAATCCTACTAAGAAATTAATCTATTCCCCTTTGCCTTCTCCCAGCCGAAATGGATGATGAACAGGCACCTGCAGCAAGCCCGTTACTGGGTGCAGTACGCAACTAGAGAAGTGGAGGCAGTGCTTGCAGAAAGGCAGGGCCACGTTGCTGGTTTGTGTGCAGACTTGGAGGACTGTAGGAAAGCACATTTTGTCAGACCTGTGTCTAGCTCTTTTTCTTAAGAACGGAAGAATTTGAAAACCTAAAGCTTCACTTGAGAGCTTCATTCAGAAGAGCTTATTTTCCAATACAGAAAGCACTACAAAACAGCAAAAAATCAAATTACTGGCTGATTAACTAATTTGAGCGTTGTTTCAAGATTGAAAATGTAACAAAATATTTAAGGCTATCTTTGGCTGAGACTTCTGAACACTTTTGCTAGTACTCTTTCAAACTGCCTTGTGTTTGTTCTTGATGCCATTTCATGAGGCCCAACCAAGAGTTATTTCTAGCTCATACAGCTAGGCAAATGACAGATATAAAGGATTCTGTTGGAATTTGGTGCTCACTAGAGGGAGACAGATACAAATAATTCTCCTTAGTGAGGTCAGTTTAAAAATCAGGTTGAAGTACATCATGAAGGTATTCAAAATGAAACTGCCACAAGCAGATATTATTACTTGCCCTGCTAAATGACCGCAAGAATTAGCTGACAAAGACGGAAACAGAAAAGAGATGTACGTTATGCTCGTGCCTTTTTTCCTTGGGTGGAAAAATGTATTGGTTTAACAGTTGTAGGTGTACCATATTGTAGGCTTTAGAAATTAAGATGTCCATGGTGCTTCCAGTACTTGGGTGAATGATAAATCCATGAAAACATCACCAGCCTATTGACCCACAGTGGGAGGGTGGCAGAAACCACAGGAACAAAAGGTTCCTGTAAGTGACATGAAAAATCAGCCTCCATGTAAACAGTTGGGCTTTATTAGTGCTCCCACCAAAGGAAGAGCAGCGATGTGAACTCAATGGTTCCCTTCTCAGTATGTAGCAGCCAGCCAAGCAGCACTTGTGACCTCCCTGGTCCCAGCCCCAGCATTTGCTGCTGCTGCTGCTGATCTACTTAATGAGTAGAGGAGGGAACGAAGGTGCGGGGAGGGGAGTTAGGGTCTGAGGCTGAGAGGTAGTAGAGATATTTTATGGGAACTGAGTCACAGGGGTACGTGCTCACCAGCTAGCTGTGCTGTCAGGGTTGGGTAACCAAATACTTAAGAGTATCAGTATGCCTTAGTGCTGCTACTTTCAAAGAAATGTGGGTTTCCCCCTATTTAGTCACTGTTTATGGAAAACTGAAAGAAGATTTTTCTTTTTCATGCTTTTTTTATGAAGAGTATTATGGCTGTGAGTAAAGAGGCATGTCCCATGCTGCAGGTAGGAGTTGGCAGTTTAACCTACTTCTTGTTCTGTATTGAGCTAGCCACCAAGAGAGGTCAAAATGTGCTGTGTCTTCCTAGTGTTTTGGTCTTTCTGTTCTTTTTGTGTTGTAAGAGTACAATAATCAACTAAGACTCATGTTTCAGACTGTCTGCCAGACCTCACAGGTACAGGATCCTAAGTGGCTCGAATAAAAAGTCTCACTGCTGGCTCATTCTGCTCATAACCAAGAGAGTGTTCAGAGGGCAGTTTTGCTGTGCTATTACTATTTCTTTACTAGAAGAAAAACTATTTTTTACTGCAAACTCAAAGTGACCTTTCATCACTATCTTTTTAGTTCTATCCTTGGTTTTGTATTTGGGGAATATTAGGAAATAATTTAAATTCTTTAGATACATCTGGCCCTGGATAAATGGCCTCATCTACTCTTGAAACATTCCTTACAACTTCACTGGCTTTCTGGGTTATGGCCAACTTCAGTCTTCTACAGACAAACATTTAATCTGAATGTTATCTCGTTTGGACTGATCTCCACCAATATTTTTCATAGTTTACAACACTTCTAGCAGCAAGACAGAGGCTCTTTTTCGTGTTTTTGTTTTCTTTAAAAATGTAATTTTTTAAGTAAAGATATGTTTACTTCTGTGTGTCTTAGGGGCAGTGGCCAGTACAGAAGTGAAGCAGAAACTTCAAGAGTTCCTGTTGAGTAAATCAGCCACAAAAGACTCTCCAGCAAATGGGAAGAATCATTCCATGAGCCGCCACCCCAAGCTCTGGTACACGTATGTTCAGTATTAAGCTGTTTCCTTGCCTCGTCAAGGTATCTGTTAAAACTTGCCAGAATGCTTCTCCAGCAGGGGTATTGAGAGTCTGCCTCCAGAATAAGACAGAAGTTCAACCAAGAAGTTAGCAAAAAGCCAGAAGTGTAGTGTTTCTGGTTGAACTGAAGAGTATTTGATGTTCAGTGATGAGATGAGAGCTGTACAGAACAAGATGCTGTCAGAAATTTGTATAATTTTTTTTTTTTATTTCAACTGCTTCATCTCTTGATGCTGTCACAAATTTTACAACTATACCTGTCATTTTTCCAAGTGTCTTCAATTTTTGCAGTTAGAACAACTTTGTGTTTGATTTACTTGGATTTTGTATCAATCACAAAACTTGTTTATTCTCGAAGAGATACTGCTTTCGAGTGAAGTTACTTGAATGATGTAAGTAACTCACAAGGATTTTGAGAAGGATAGTCATCATTGAACTTTTCTTACTCTGATGGATTTTAGTATCCAAAACTGCATATTCTTATGATGCCTTGGTCTTGATAAGAATCTTACATCATTGAAACAAGTGGGTTTTTTGAGTCCTGTAATGGGCCTATTAACGTTGTAAGAGTTTGAAGTTTTAACAATTTTTATCCCACTCCTTTTGTTTTTTTTTTTTCTTTTTTATACTAATCAATTCCTTTTTAACTTCCTTATTACAACAGACACATAAGTCAATCCAACAAAATGAACTCTGGCTGCATTTCTGAAAGACTTCAATGTTATGCCTGAATTGACCTTCAATAGGACAAACAGAAATGCATATGGTACATTAGATTTCCATCTGGTACTTGTTCTTTTTGAACAGAGTTACCGAAGGTGTGCCCTTGGAATTTCCATTCTGAGCTAATCAGAGCATTGTGGTAACGTGATTTAATATTTAGTTACATTGTTTCTGGTGGAGATACAGTACTTAATTATTATTTTTATTCCAAATAACGTGTAAAATTCTCTTGAGTATGTAAGATTTCTGGACTAATAATACAATTTTAGTTCTGAGTCGTCGGATAAGTGAGAATTGAGGAGCTCTGCAGAGCAAGTTGTCTGCTACGCTGGGGAAAGTAATACTTCCTCTCATGGTAGTGCCCCTTTTGACAGAGATGTATTATTGATTAACCACGCTACATTGGAAAGATATGGAGAGACTCCGTAAAAGGCCAAGTAAAATTATGTTTAGATAAACACAAAGTTTGAAACTTTCCCTCCTTTCCCTCTCTACCCCTCTAAATAGAAAAATCAACCAACCAAACCCAAACAAACAACTGTCTCTGGGCCAAATGATGCAATTTCTTTGCAATTTGCATTTTCTGTGTTCAGAAAGACCTGCCCACACTATTTCTTCCATCCAGCAGTTGTCAAAAAGCACTCTCCAGCTTGGAGCTTCTCTGCTGACGCGAGTGCTACGTGCTGCAGAGTGCTGTGCTCACAAAGCTTGCAAAATGAACTTAAATACAAGGTTTTATCTACCTTGTCCGCTAAATAGTTTACTCTTTTTTTTTTTTTTTTAAACAGATAATAACAACTCAATATTTCTAGTTAGTTTTATACAAGCCCCCTGCCCTGTAAATCACCCACATTTTGATAGAAGAGGCTGGATCAATATACATCTATTTGTATGTAATAAACAAGACTTAAATGGCTTTTGCTGTGCTTCAGCTGGTTCGTATTAAAATGCAACAATCTAAAATGGTCAGTTCCCCAAACTGGTGACAGATCCTGTCTGTAGGTCAACATGACTCTTATCCTATGTGACTTTTATAATGAGTGCAAAAAGCACGTTCTTGGGAATCCTGAGGAGTTCCATAACTTACTGTAAAAGTGAAATTGGTTACATGAGCCTGTGGTTTGTGCACACTTAGAGGAACAAGAACATAAACACAGCTGAGACATGTGTACAACATGTGTAGATAGTTACTGCTGGTCACCCCAGTGACTGCTAATTTGTGACCTCTCTGTGTCTGCTGCAGGGCTGCCCACCATACCTCACTGGATCAAAGCTCTCCACCCCTGAGTGGGGCCTCGCCACCGTACAAATACACTTTACCAGGAGCACAGGATGCCAAGGATGATTTTCCACTTCGTAAAACGGGTGAGTTAGCGTAGTTTGTTCGAGCCCCTTACCCAGCAGTTCTCCCACCCTTTATTTTAACCAGGCTGTCCATCAGCAATTTCATGAATCAGGAATTCATGAAAGAGAAGGAATTGGATTAATATTCTATTTCATGTCATTGGTTGTCAAAGTGTATATGTATATTTGCATACACATGCACACATCTGTGCTTGCTTTTTACACATAGGAATGTGTAATATTTTACAAGAGAATGTTCATTTGAATGTTTCAGAATGTTTCAGAGGATTTAGCACCTGAACCTTTTATCTTGACAGCAGGTGAACTGTAGACTTGACTTTTTCTGCTCCATAAAGAAAGCTAGAAGGATGGTGGTGGAGTCCATGTGGCTGTTGCCTCAGGTCCTTGGTGCAGTGACCGGTATCCAGGAATGCAGGGAGACACTACGAAGAGAGGGGGGAAAAAAAGAAAAGAAAACATTAGATTGCTTATTGCCTGAGTCTGCTGTTGAGTGATATAGTTACATTCAGAGAGAAAGTCTGGCCCCCTACTGTGCTAACAGCCTTTGAATGTGATTTAGCCACTGGGAGATTGAAAACTAACTGCAAAACTGGTACTGACTTGAAAAGAAGTGGCATTTGGAACCAGCATACATTCAGAAAGAAAATCCAGTCGGTATCTAATACTTTGGGGCAGACTCTCTAAGCTCATGTTATATCCCCAAATATTTTCAGAGGAATGAAAGCATGAAAAGCAAAATGCTAATTTATTCTAGCTGAATTACTCTTTGTACAATATAACAAGATTCTATAAAATCTTGTTCAGGCTATTCAGTCACAATAAGCCCTTATGTGTTTCTCTGCCTAATACCACTGTACAACGTATATTTTCGGTGCCAATAGAATATACATTTTCATATTTAAACAAAAGGACACACTCTACATCTTCTAAATGCTGTAAATTCATCTACATGTTTTTGAAATGCAAGTTTTAATTTTTCTTCCATGTTTATATATCTTAAATGTTATGATTGATATTTATGATGTGTCAGACTGTTGATCTGTAAAGCAAAACATTTTCAAACATTGTAACAGTAAAGTTCTCGTGCAGCTGCTAATACTTTTATATCTCTGTGGGGGTTTCAAAATATTCCTTAATTCAATTCCCATTGTCTGCATAAGAGGACTATAATATAATTAAATCCAGATGTTTTCTATATGTTATTCCAAATATTTGGGCATGCAATGCATCAGGTCCAAAATTGAACGAAGCACATGATGACTCTCTGAAAAGATATCTACAGAATAAATAGACAAATATTAATATAATCATTAGCATAACCGTTTCTATGACATTTACATAGTGATTCTGATAAGCAAATATATATGAAGGGTACAGCATGTTGTATGTTAGCAAGGGAGTATATTTGATAGCTCTTCACATCCGCGAAAACAGCAACTGTTAAATACCGTGTTTACACGTCCAATCTCTTGGTATACTAGAGTTGTTTAATTCCAGCCCTCAGCAACATCCCCACAAAGCTTCCGATGATTGTTCATCAGGTTGAGAGTAAAAGCAACAGGAACCACATCGACACAAGTCAAATGACCCTAAACTGATCTGGGTGGTTATAGGGCCATCCTCCAGGCAGAGGGGACATTGTGGAGCCTGTGTCGTCCTCATGGGACCTTGCTAGACAAAGATGTCCCACGAGCACTCACGTATATGGACAGGCTATAAGCCTGCAGAAATCTGACCTTTGCCATGAGGGGTGAACCTCTTTTCCTTTCCTTTAGGCTGTGAACGCTTATTGCCACTGGCTCCTGGTAAACCCTCTGTGGTGCTGAGCCTGCATGAAGTCAGCAATTCATATGAAAGCGAACCTCGCATTCCTTTCAGCCTTAAGAAAGGAATACCTGGTGTGGGTTTTAATCGCAGCTTTGTTTTGCTTCTCAATTTTATTTTCCATATTCATGATAGAAATACAGAGGTAGCTTTCTCTACTCCGACCTTAATATAATGCCCTTGGAAGATAATTCAGATTGAATCGATTACTCTAAGGTCAGATTTAACAGGCAGCAAAGCTGAATGATTCTCTCCTGACATCCTAATGTGTTTTTCAGTGCTAAGGGAACAGCGAGTGTCACACAGGCATTGTAAATGATGAGTCTTGCTCGCTCGCTTTCTTGTTCAGTAACCTATTTAACCTTTGCTTAATTAGTCCTGAAGTGGCATGTCCTTGTTAATCTTTTAAAAATTAATTTAGAGAGACTATGGCAAAGAAGAAAATATTCTGCGCGACTTTTACTCTCCTACCATCTAGAATGATGGGATACCAAGATAACTAGGGGAACACTTAACAGTCTTGCCGCTCGTATGTTTACAGTTAGGTACCAGAGTTAACATCCTAGTGCAGTGACTATGGTTACTCACTAACTCCCTGAGCCATGTGGATTATTCCTTTCCGTACAAGATGCAGCAGAACTTGTCAGCAGTAGGCTTCTCACAGCTTAGCTGCATGGAGGTTTGGGACTGTCCTAGGGGCTAGAGGCCAGGATATGCAGCTCTTTGCACAGCTGCATTCAGATGCTCTGTGTTGACAGACTTTCAAAAGAGCGGAGCAAGGGGAGCTGTTCCTTCATTGGACAGATAAATATACCATAAGGTGAAGCTGCATATCTGTAGCTGAGAGTAGAATTTAGCCTAAACAGCATAAGATCAAATTTTAAAAATGCCCACGACTTTCACCGTGGATACCAGTCATAACGCGTGTTTTCGGCAAAGCACCCAAAAGCCCGAGCAGCACATGGCTCATTAACTTTCAATAAGACTAATGCATCTAAATTACCCGGAGAGGTTTAAAAATTCCTCCCCATTACTGAACACTTTTGAAATTCATACTGACTGTTGTAAGAGCTCTGATGGGAGCTGGGCACTTTGGAAAACCTGATCATTTAATATGGGGAACTTCTGATTGCTGATCTCCGTAATTCCATGTCTATCTATCTGGGAAAATATTATCTGCTTGATGAGGTTACTGTAAAACTAGAAAAAAATGTAGCAAACCACATGGGTTTGATACGATAAAAGTTCTTTTCAAAGAAAGGTTTTTTTGGGTTTTTTTACTGTGTCGAAATAAATGCAGAAATTCTGGCAAATTACCATAATATTTGCATTTTCTTCAATCTGTAACATTTCATTTTCTGTGTACAAGTGTTGATGCAAAGCAGCAAAAGCCAGTAAATTCCAATAAAGGTTAGCTCTCTAACCAAAGCTGCATGCTTTTTAGAAATATTGCTATGGATGGAATTTCTGCATTTTGCCTCATGTTTTGGCTTTTGTTGGAAGAAATTCCTGGAGATATAAGAATATCAAGTATAAACTGTTTTTTCTTTCCTGAGTTTAGCACAATCATGGCAGAATGGGCATGTCTATCAGTATTTCTGTTTATTTTGGTTTTATGCCAGTTGTATCTCCTTGCTGATGGAGTTGTAAGCTTACAACTTGCATTTTGCTAACGGATGTAAAGATCACTCACAATAGTATTGTTTGAGAAGATGTTTGTAGCTTGCTTTCCACAAAATGGAAGCATGCTCAATGGAAATATAGCATGTTTTGGTGGGGTTTTTTTAGTAGCAAATGGTACAAGGTTCTTGGTTGGAGGGGGAAAATTATGTAATTTCATACAGGAAAAAAAGAGGAGATGAAGGATTGTTTAATATTGTGATGAAAGAGAGGGAGAAGGCTGTGCTGCGCAGTCATGAGGATCACTTTGTAAAAACCATATTAAGTTAACCTGATTAGGCAGTAGAATAACAGCATAGCTCTTGTGTAATGAGAGTGAAAGATTCCTGAAGGAGAACTCAGCAGATGTAATTTTTTTTAAAAAAGAAATTAATTAGAATATTTCGTTACCATTATTCTTTCTGCACTTAGTGACTCAGTAATTTACGGGAGCAGTTGAAGCTGAAAAGAAAAACATTTTGTGGGTGAAAGCTTTTCTGCCTTTCCATTTTGTGCCACCAAATGCCATTTCTGTTTGCATTTTCTAGGAAAACACTTTCCTGTGAAGTATAGTATATGAAAAAGCTGGATTTCTTTTGGTCTTCAGTAAAAAAAAAAGGCTTAGAGGATCACAAACCCTCAATTACCATGTCTGCCGAAACGAAGAACTCAAGCTCAGTAGAGAGAAGCATTGTTTTTCTCTGAGTTTATGAGCAAACACAATAAATGTGAGAGGCACTTTTTTTATTGAAGCAGGGAAACAAGGCAAACATGATTCTCCTCATTTTATCCCATTTTTCAGGGACGCTAAGCATTCCTGACTCCCGGAGTCCTTGTATTCCTACGTTAATGAAAAGTCTTGACGAATTTGACAAATTTAGGTGATGCACACAAAGGAAACTGGGGGGAGAGGGAAGAGGTATTGTGATTCCCATCCCTTCTTTTTCTTGACTTCTCTTCCCATTAATCACCAAACTTTTTTAGCCTTCCTGAATTCGCTATCAGTGAGTTGAGAGGGCATAATCAGTAGTAAGAAGTTTTAGAAAGAGAAGAAACTTTCACTTGCAATTGAAGAGTGAATCTGAAGCAAAGTGTTGTTAACAGCTTCTTCCGGATTCATGTAACGAACGGGCCAAATCAGAGTTGAGCCCCTGGGAGCCAGCAGCTCTCAGGAAATGTAATACCATTGTAGTTACTGGGCTGGGCTGCAAGTCGTCTCAGGTCCATCAGGGTTCTGCAGCCCCCTAAGCTGGGGGTGAGGAGGGATGCGCTGTCACTCTAACTCTAGTTAGAGGGGAATTTTTTTGAGATAGCTTAAAACTAAATACAAGTGAATGCTAGGGTAGACTTAATGACACTGTCAGAGAGAAAAAAACACTTGTGTAGGTATGCTTTGGTATCGTGAAAGCTGCCAAGGCCTGCGCTAGGGTTCTGCAGAAGTCATCACTGGGGTCATTCCTGTAAAGACCATTGTAGCCTTCCCATCAGTGCAAGATTGTTCCTCTAATATATTTTAT